AAGTTAGTTCTTTTTGCATTTTCGGTTCCCCATTCTCGTTGATAAGCAGAAAGAACATACTTAGTTTCCTGTTGGTTTAGAGGATTACGCGTTACCGATTACATAATTAAATTTCGGAGCTTACATGCCACTTTAAATTAAAGAATATATATATGTATATAAATAAAGGATACGATTCGGGCTAAAATTACCATTAATACAGAATATACCATGAATGATACATTTTAGTTGATTGTCTCAAAATCATTTGCCTTGCATATGTGGCGGGGATCTATTGTTTTTTAACAAACGCGGCAAACGATTTTGAGACAATCAACTAAAATGTATCATTCATGGTATATTCTGTATTAATGGTAATTTTCGCCCGAATCGTATCCTTTATTTATATACATATATATATTCTTTAATTTAAATCCGAATTTCATCTATGCCTATATATTCTGCACTCTATGGAAGTGACTATCTTTGTTTTTCTAGGACCATAAACCTTTAATCAGTTTACTTTTATTTGTCTTTCTATAATAGGGTTTCTTATCTCTTCATTGCGACAACATTATTCAAGTTCATATTTTTGTTTCAACAGGGTGTCAAGCGCCTGGAGCAACAGTTGATTTCAGATACTTTTCGCTATCAAGCTGCCTCTTCAGCCCACTTCGCTAGTGGCGAAACCTCCGTCTCTTCGATAGCCTCTAACTCAAGTCCCACCATTGGAGCCAGGCGGGAGCCCTCCAGCTTAGTCCATGAGAACTCTGCTGGTGTCGGTAGTGCGTTGTTAATTTCGGGATCAAATGAATCCCCTCATCAACACAATCAACAACAGCAGTCTTTGAGCAAGATTCGGCAGCTGGAAAAATTGTTGAAGAAGCGCCTGTAGCCGCGCTATCCTAATGAATATGTTTGGAGTTCATCGGAAAACTTGAGTGAAGAAGGCAGATTGAATGCGTATCCTTAATTTTTTTATTAACAATGCATAGCCCAGAACAATATTCTACTCACCATGAGCTCACTGTACAGTATTCACACAATTATGTAGGCTATTTAAAGTCACAGATTCATTTAATTACTTAATTTATGCATATGTGTAGGCTCAAACGTATACGTACCTATAGGCTACCGCTAGTTTGGCTATTTTCACACCCGTACTCAGGCCTTTTAATTGATATTGTTACAAACACCATATCTCCAGTTTCTCTGCTTTGAATGTAATTAGTATATTTCATCGGCTCTTTCATTCCTCCGTTTCTATTTTTAATCGTTCGTCTCACGAGTATTTCATGCTCTCTACCTATTTGCTATTATCCCACTATTTGTTAACCCTAATGGCAAGGGTTGAGAGTAACCGTACTTTATTGTATTTCATGTCATTGCTCAAAGCCTGTGAAAATTAATTTAAGTCCAACTCTTTTTGGCAAAAGAAAGATCTGTAATTGTGCCTTCCTACATTTTACTGACTGGCGGTTTTCTCACTAATTTTATCGTCAGTATTAACAAAGCAAAAGTGAATCCTTTCATGAGGCAACTGTTCACCTCTGTTTTTTTTAATCAGGTAATTTCACACTTATGACTGTGATCGGCTGTAATCACCGCATACTTCACTCCACATAATTTGATCATTCCGCAATGTAATCATAGCGGCACAGAACGGTTCAGTTCAATGCTCTGTTCTAATTAGCCTCTTCTTGAAAAGTAAGCTGACCTGATTCTACCCGTCTTGCATCCACACTTGTGTGTCCATATCTGTCACATTAGCTGCTTTACAACCACTTTATAGCATAAAGTGCTTAGTCCTGAGGCGTTTAAAGTGTTCCGCAGCCTTAGCTGGTTTATACCTTTCCACTACTTACATTCTATAGCTATGCTTATATCTGAGCGCATGCCTGCATTTCTCCGCTGTTATTTCGTAGCGAAGAATAGTATTCGTACCGCGGCCGATTTATTTATAGCTTTATAGATCTCCATACTATCTTATGCATTCCACATTATCGTTTATAACGTAGATCGGGTTCCCAACCGGAAGATTAAAGCCCACCTTAGGTTTTTTCGACGAGCCCCGAAGGCTTCAGCCTAAGAAGCTATTATATTTGCAGGTTGACTTCCGGTTTTCAATAGAGCCCATTTAAAATCTCTTTTATTCATAGATCAAGGCCAATCCTATTTCTTCTTGTGTTTTGTCTTTATACAGAAGTATATACATATATTAATGATCAGACATTGTTTTC